AAAATGTATAACGCTGCATAAATCTGTTTTTTTAATATTTCATTTAATTCACAGATTATTTTGATACTTTTTATTTATTTATTTGGGAGAAATAAAAATATTGATCTTTTTGCGAACAATTCCAAAAACTAAAGCCATTGATTTATGAAGAGAAAACGGTAAACGAATTTCAATGAAACTTGAAATATCATATTAGAATATACAATTTAATGCTTGATAGAAATAAATTTTAAATGTTACAACGATTTATTGTTTCTCTCTTGAGGGTAAAAAAAAAAAAAGGAAACAACAATTTATGGGTTAAGTCTAATTAGCAAGTGGAGATTGACAAAAAGTATTCAATATTGTGTTTTGAATATCATAATATGGCCATATATATATATATATTGTATTTTATATTTTTATAAGATATGATTAAATATTTGTAATATGACGTATGCATCAATACAAATTTAAATTAAATTAAATTAAATGAGACACCAAAAACTAAGGATGATATACTGTATTAAATAGTATTTATTGTGGTGGATTGAACCGGACACTGATAATGAGGGTAGGTTTATACAAATTATAAAGAAAAAAATCTAAGTCATTAAATATACAGGGTAGACAGCCGGACAAAATTATTATTATTATTATTATTATTATTATTATTATTTATATAATTTTAATAATAACAAATTTACAAAATAAAAAAATAGGGTCCATTAAATGAGAATATTAAGACACATGAAGAGAGGGATACTGAAACAGTACAAAAAAAGCATAGGATGTGACGAAGACAGGTGGCAACTTTTAGGCACCGTGGGTCCAACTTCGTGACATAAAATAAAAATGCTAACAATAAGATATATGATATTTGTTCAAATAAATAATTTTGGTGGAAGTATCACATCTACAAGAGATATTTAATTAAAATTTAAGGGGTTTTCATGATACATTGATTAGTTAACAATCCTTGATGTAATATCTATTTATACATTTTAGTTGGGGTGGACGTTTCGATTCGGAATCGAACCGTAACGAAACAAAAAACGCGGTTTTTTTTATCCAAACTGTCCAAATTTTTTAAATAATACTAATTTTATAAAAAACTGAACCGAAACGAAATTTTAAAAAAATATAAAAATATATATTTTTTAAGAAAATCTAATTTTTTTTATACAAACCGGAACCAAAGCGAATCGTAACCGGAATCAAACCGAACCGAACTGAATATAATATAATAACTGATGAATATGCATTTTTGTAAAACCGAAAGAACCGAACAGAAATCTTTTTCGACATGAAACCAAATCGAATCCCGAAATGCACACCCCTACATTTATGTAACCTAAAAAATCAACCTATGTTTAGTTGGTTGCATGTATTTTGAATATGCTTAGATATCACGAACTATCATGTATTGAATATTACAATTTATTTTAACTTATTTATATTTTATATGTGGTTGTGGATTTGACATTAGTTTATTTTAGATTTATATGCGATTTTTTTTTTTTTTTTGATTTCTGGATTTTAAAGCTACAAATTTGTTGGGGAGCGATTGGAATTGGAATAATATGGAAAAGCAAGGTCCCATGAAATAAAGCTGTGTGCTATGAAAAAGTGTAGCAGAAAGTGTGCCAAATGAATATAACGGCCACATATGTATATATATATATATAGGGAAAATGGGCCAAAATATAGAGTTTTTTTTTATAATTTTATCAAAAGCCAATTAGATGGCGAGCTTTTTTTTATGTTCATTGTTCACAAATATATATAAACATGGTTTATTTATTAAAAAAATTAAAAAAAAAAATTGTTCAAACACACTAAGTGGGCATTATATCAAAAATACCCTTAATTTGCTATTTCTACTTCAAGACCCACCCTGGTCACATGTGACCAATGTGACCGAAATATAGTATGGTCACATTTTGATTTTTATCGATTATAACGTTAAATTTATGGTGATCACACTAATTCATTATATATGTTTATACCTTGTATATCTTACTAATCAGTTGATTAAAACATCATAAATTTAACGTTATGAACAATGAGATCAATATGTGACCACACTATATTTCGGTCACATTGATCACATGGTCACAAGGATAGGTTTTGAAGTAGAAATAGCAAATTAAGGGTATTTTTGATAATGACCCCACTAAGTGTGGTAAGCCAAACTAAAGCATGATCAAAGTAATACACACGCATATATATACACATACATTCACATATTTGTTATATATATATATATACATACATATATATATATATATACACGAAGACATGGCTAGTGAGATTGCTTGTGGGTATGTCCCAAACCTTTGAGAATACAAACCATTGTCGAGACATAACTGAAAAAGAAATGATTAGTAAATATATACATACACATATGATATATATATACACATCTACTTGCATATATATATATATATATATATATATATGTTAGTATGTATTTACGTGAGAGCAAAGGAGATAGTAGTTATAACATGCCCATCATGCAACATGTTGAAATCAACAAAAGGGAAACTGGCCAAATAATACAACAAAAGGGTCACATGGGCATGTATGTGATATCGTCATACGTGGATTCGTTTCCTTTCAAATCGAGACATTTAATTTCGAGAGTTGGGTTTCGATCGATTCGATGTGGACCGTTTTTTTTTGGGATCAAATGATATTATTTGTTAGTTGTAGAGAACATTAACCAAAAATCGGCTCGGTTTAACCATATGTTAAGACTACCATCATTTTCAACTTGTAAAGATTATGTTAATGTTACAAGTTCTATAAAACACAATATGGGATTATATATTATATACTTTTTTGTAAATATTATTGGTGACTTACACAATTACGATCCAACTAATTCTATAAAATTAATAAATTATATATATATATATATATATATAGGATCTCCGTTAATAATGAAACAACTAATACTTATACACAAATATACACTTTTGAAAACCTCAACAAGCAAAAACTCGCACAAATAATATTACTGATTGTATCGTAACCACCTGCAATCGCGACTGTAATGGTAGTCAGACCTTAATACTATGAAAACAGATGAAGAAAATAAATCAAGCTAAACCAAACATAACCTGAAATTATGTTTTTTCAAGTGTAGTTTTGTATTTTTCCTTTTTTTTTTGTATAAACATGTTCGTTGACATATATATTTGATCAATATGAATATTTCGTACATGGGATTTGGTGATTTAACCCTGAAACTAGTGAATGGTTAATTTAATTCACTTTGAGCAAAGTCAAAGTCATCCACTGACATGAACCAAGTGGAGTTGGGACCAAGTTTACTTTGAATTTAGGGATCCAGTGGAATTTAATTTAATTGAATTTAGGAAAGTCAGAATCGTATAAAAACACGGAGCAATGAATACAATCACACTGTTTTCGGTTAGGGATCCCGTGGAATTTAATTTAATTTGATTTAATGTTTGAACTTTGATCAATTACAATACTTTTTTTTTTTAAATTTCTTTTATTTTGCTAGGTATTATGATTATCACAATAGCAATTTGTTGTTCATAATCATGACTCATGTTAGAAATCTGGGATATAAAAAGAAGAACAATAACAGAAAAGTAAATAGGAACCGGATAACTCTTCAAGGCGTGATACACTTTTTTAAAAACGTTATTCCGTCCTATACGAGCAAAAGACTTTCCGGAATACGTCTTTGAGATACAATGAAGAGAGAAGTGATCTTAGTTTGCTCTACTAAGAACAACACAAGAAATTGCAAGAAGAAGATGAACAAAAGGCTTTTGTGGGTGTTTTGCAAGAACAACCACAAAAGTGCTCTCAAATCTCTCAAAAACAATTTAGATCTGTTCTCTATATAGTGTTAGGATGTCCAGGGGTGCTAATAAACACTCCAAAAGTCGAAAGGTGTGAAGAAATCGGAAGTTTTTCCCGAACGGTCGCGATTTTTCGCTCAATCCGAACTGCTAAAAAAAAACGGGCTGCCCGCCCGTTTTGTCGAGCTACCCGCCCGTTTATGTCTGAATTGCTCAGAAAAAATGGGCTGCCCTCCCGGTTTTTCCGAGCTACCGCCCATTTATTTATGAGCTTTATTCCTCAGAAAAAACAGACTACCAGCTCATATTTTCAAGATGCCCTCCCATTTTTTCTGAGATCACCTTTACGTTCAAAACCGAACGTAAACTCTTTCGACGTATCCTTAACACTTAGCCAATTCATACCACATCTTTTACAAGCATTTATCTCCTCCACCATACTTGTAATACACGTGAAACATGAATCCTTTTGAGAAATTCTAAATTTCCATTCATTTACTCTAAAAATACCAACAACTCATCTGTTAGAAAACGAATCAATAGATTCTAGTTGTAACACAACAAAACCGAATGATTCAATTCAAACCGAACCAAACTGTACGATCTTCTTGATAATTCTAAGGAGTTTTATATATCAACTAATTAAGGATTGAGATTTTTTGCTACTTAACCTTTGCTGTAAAAACGTTTTGATTGGCTCAAAACATTTCATCTTTTCGGTTAATACAATTATCATTTACCAAAAAAAAAAAATAAGAAGAAGAAGAAACCAAAGGGTAAACATGCATGGTTCGTCCAACCCTAACAAGAAGCACATACATCAAATGTTATGAGATATTAACACAATGTTATTTTGTTAGATGAAAAAAAATTTATTTTCAAATTCATCTCATGAAAATTTTGGAAAAATTTATAAAACATTCTTTTTTATATATATATACACACACTTACGCATTAAGGCACGTACATGCTGCAAAAAAATAAAGAGCAAATTACACGCAGTAACAGTAGATTCCATTTAGTTGATTCTCGTAAATTTTTAATATTTCGAAAATTGACCAAAAACGTAAAGACACGGTTTTGATCGTCAGAATAAAAAAGGTGCCTTTACCCATAAACACGCAGAAAATCCTATATATAGACCGGCAGGCAAAAACATACATAAAGCACAGTTCTAAATAAACCCTAACAGAGAATATATATATATATATACATACTTACAAACACAAAGGAAAATGAGTTTAATGTTCATTGACTCTGTCATCTTCGCATGTATTGTTCTTTTGATCCTCCAGTGTCGCCGGAAAACCGGATCCCGGCGGCTTCCGCCGGGGCCAAAACCACTCCCGGTGATCGGAAACCTCCATCTCCTCGGTGACAAACCACACGTGTCACTCACAAAGCTCTCCAAGGCGTACGGACCACTCATGAGCCTCAAACTCGGCCAAGTCACCGCCATTGTCTTATCTTCCTCGGAGATGGCCAAAGAAATACTTCAAACGCACGACCGCGTTTTCTCCAGCCGCGCGGTTCCAGACGCAGTCGCGGCACTCAACCTCAACGTGCACGAGATGACGTGGCTCGAGGTATCGGACAAGTGGAGGAACTTGAGGAAGATTGGCAACAAATACATAGTTAGCACCGCCAAGCTCGAGGCGGGACAAGACTTGCGGCGCAAGAAAGTCCAAGATCTGCTCCAAGAAGTCGGGAAATGCTGTCAGGACGGCAAGGCCGTGGATATAGCACAAGCCTCGTTTAGGACAACCCTTAATCTGTTGTCGAACACCTTTTTCTCGATGGATTTAGCCGATACGTCTTCGGAGAACGCGAGAGAGTTCAGAGACGTGGTGAAAGCTATCATGGACGTCGTCGGGAAACCGAACCTGTCGGACCATTTCCCTGTCCTGAGATTTCTTGACCCGCAAGGCATAAGGCGGCAAACCGGTGTTCTTTGTAAGAAGTTGCTCGATATCTTCGACAGAATCTCAGATGAACGGCTGAGATCGAGGAGAAAGACAGATCAATCGAGCACGAAGAGTGACGTTTTGGACACTCTTTTGGATATTGCGGAAGATAAGAACGTTGACTTTGACTTAGATGCGATCCGATATCTTTTCTTGGTGAGTGAAGTACCTGTCCTTGGTCTTAACTATTTTGACTTTCGCATATATAAATATTTTATTATATGTTTATTTAAATCGCAGGAGCTATTTACGGCGGGAAACGATACGACGTCGTCCACGTTGGAGTGGGCGATGACGGAATTGCTTCGGAATCCAAAGGCAATGTCAAGAGCTCGTGAAGAGCTGAGAGAGAACATCGGAGTGGGGAATACGGTGGAGGAATCTGATACTTCGCGCCTACCCTATCTCCATGCCATCATCAAAGAGACTTTCCGGTTACATCCTCCGGCTCCGTTTCTCATACCAAGAAAATCTGGTTCGGATGTCGAGATCAACGGGTTTGTCATCCCAAAGGGTGCAACGGTACGCAAACCGTTATCTGAAACCGGTTTGGTGGTTTTGGTTTAGAGTTCAATGATGTGGTTTCCATCAGAGTTAACCGGTTCAATTGGGTTCTTAATGATGAACAGATTCTGATAAACGCGTGGGCGATTGGAAGAGATCCAAAGATATGGGAGAATCCAGAGGAGTTCATGCCGGAGAGATTCTTGGATTCGGATACCGACTTTAGAGGAAGCAATTTCAGGCTGATTCCATTCGGCGGCGGCCGGAGAATATGTCCGGGATTGCCATTGGCAACAAGGATGCTGCATCTGATGTTAGGCTCACTCATACATTCATTTGAATGGGAGGTTGAAGAGAAAGAGTATCTTGGTGTTGAAGAAGATTTCGGTATCACTTTGCACAAAGCTCGTGCCCTCAGAGCTTTACCGGTCCGGTTCACCTCATGACCCGGTTTGGTTGGATGGTTTCGATCATGGAGTCAGTGTAATGTTTTTTTTTTTTCAAAGTCGTAGGAAGTTTGAATAAGAAAAAATTGGGTACGTCCCCATGTGTACCGTCTGTCCATTGTATTATATTTTATGTTTTTTATTTGGCTTCTTTTCATTACATTGTCGACTTTGAACCGTTTGTCACATACATTATATAAACACATTTCTATTATATTTTTAATCTGAAATGAGCATTTTCAGTCTCTCCGCCTTCAAATCGTGAGGCCCTCGTCGCATGAGCTGGACTGCTCGGCCATCTGAATGTACGAAAAGGAGCTGATTCCCTATAGAACTCTTACCGCTGTCAGCCAGTGAATGCCTAAGTTACTGCCATACCAAAATAACAGATACCCTGTTATATAACCAGAGGTGTATATATATATATATATATCCATAATGTGCAAGATACATAGAATGAACATTCATGGAAGGTTTACCAGACACAACCTACACTAGAACTATAGAACTCTCAATGTAGCTTTCAGTAGCCAGTTTATGTCTTAATTTACAAATCTATTGGTTAACGAGCGTTCCGAGAAAGAGTAATTGTGGGTGTCAACCTCTATATAGATAAAAAGATGTATAAATTAGAGTGATTGTAGGTTTCAATCTCTATAGATAAAGAAATGTATAAATATTTAAGCTCTGAGCTTTAGCTGTGAATATAGCTTACCTCCTACCGTTCTACTGCTGGTTGGTTTCAGAAAGGACACCGCTGTTACCTCATTGAACCTGCTGAGATTGAGGTCCCCTTAACTTTGCTTGTTATCTGTAACGTCTTCGGTATCAACTTTGAGAAATTAAGATACCAAACTCTAGTGATTGGTCGCATCTTTATTCGCTAGTTAGGAGCTTACCTCATGCCATGCTTGGATTGGAAAGAATTCAGTCTATTTTCCTTTGAGCCCTTGCATCAAGAAGAGATAGCAACTCAATATATGATTATATTCTTTCGAAAAAAATCCAAATGCAACTGTTTTCACACGCTGCACCTTCATTAATCCGGATGGAGGTTGAGGAAACTTTGAGCGAGATCCATTGTCTGGCTGGAGCTCGGATATTATGGAGAGCTGTAGTTTGAGATATCGGATGTTTATGATCACAAGTTAACCATTTGGTTGAGAATAGGATGTTCAAAGAAACACGTGCACCGACCGATTACCAAGCTATTAACCATACCTTACTGAAAAGATAAGTCGGCAGGTCTTGTTGAACCCTCTTCTCCTCATGAACACCAAATTTCTGAGATGCAAATACGCAAAAAAAGTTTTTTGAGTTCTCTTCAAACAAAAACTCCAAAAAGGAAAACATAGAGGACAATTACTAATGAAATGATCATCTTAAGGATGCCATACCAAGGGTAAAGTTGTTTCTGTTTTGTTATTTCTGAAAACACCGACGTCATCTCTACTTGAAAGTATCTGTTTGACATGAACCAAAAACCTTGGTTGTGCACTTATAGGTATGAATTTAGTGTAACGCAAATGAAGCTCTAGAAAACAATATACCTTCTTGTTTAAAGGACGAGCTTTAGTAACATGATTTATATTGGAGACATCATGCTTAGCAATATCCATAGTGCTTGGTCTGAAGAACATTCAGATCAAATAACAATTAAAATCAAGAATCCAAGTTAAAGAAATCAAGCATTTCCTTATACGTTTCTCTATTATTTATACTTTAATGGGTCATACCTCCTAGTCTCCTCGTTAACGCCATCGAGAACAGTAGTTGTATTATGATTCTCTGATCCCTGTCAATAAGAAACTATTCGTCTTTAGTAGCGGCCCTTTAAGTTATCAAGTTAGCCCGATGATAGATATTATCACTTGATAACAAGAATTCGGATGATATTACCATATCAGAATCAATGCACTGATATGACGTAGTTGTAACAGCCGATGAATGTTGCATAGCCCTTTCTGAGGTCCTCAAGTGAAATTCCTGAGAAGAAAAACCACAGGGATATAAGCTGAAGTGTTAGGCCAGCAAAACATGATTTAGAATTAGAACACTGTAGCAACTTAGAAAAAATTAGTAACCAATGCTTACATGAAATTCTGGTAGCTGTGGAGTGCTCTTCATCCGGATGGGCAATGATGGAGCCACAAAAATCTACAGATCACAGACGCATGCTTGAGCTGAGATACAATGAAGAAACTACATCCGTATAGAACATTTTCTAATGGCAGATACTGACTTTTCGGTTAAAGGGGCGGGCTTTGAATCTATAAACAGCTGTTGAGTCCGGTTCTGTCTTAACATCATTCATTGGCCTGTTATATTATGCGACAGCCCGTAAGCTAGGACCTTTCCAGAAACAACTAGTTAGTGACCATTACTCAGGAACTAACCGTATCCTCTGTGCCCACTGCGTCGTGGCACGCTCAAGTTGTTGTGGGGCTGTTATCTTTGTCCTAGTACGTTGCAAGTTCCTATCAAGAGTCGCCCCCTGCAAAACCATTCAACATTTAATTATACGCAAACGGTTCTCTTCCAGAAGATTTGAAGTTTACATAACCAACGAATTAAAAAATCTATAGGCAAATTCAGGAAAATTCGAAACAAGATAACCGACATTCTTGGGTGTTTTGTGGACGAAATTCATCTCTTCCTTCATATCAGCAATCTGCAACAAACCATGTTTCAAGACATATAGCAACGCTAAGCAAGATTCACAATCATTTCAACTAGTTAACAAGCAATCTTGGTGCACCTATAGTGCACTGTTTATGAGGACCTCCAAATATTTGTTTCAGAAAACCTTGACAAGCACCAAACTAAGAAGACAAGAAAGAAAATAATAAATGCCGACTACTCTACCTTACAAAGTAGCCCTCCCTCAAGCTTCTGCCTTTTAGTAGCTTGAATTTCCAACCTAGATGGACCATTCAAGCCTTTCTCAGTAATTTGTTCCACTTGCATATGGTGTCTTTAGACCAAACGAAAGGAGTATTTGAACTGAATTGAGAGAAAGAAGATCCCAGGATTCAAAGCTCCAAAAAGTCACCTGTAATGATTTTGTTTAGCCAATTGACTAGCAGTAGGTTTCATCAATGTGGATCTCCTAGATGTCAGCTGGACGCTTGACTTTGTTCCGCATTTTGGTTTATGAGCGTGTACATGATTGCTAAATGTTGGTCCTGATAGAAATCGAACACAAAACATCTTCATAGAGGGGCAATGAGCTTGACCAACAAATTAAACACCAAATACGATCAGATGTTAGATTTCTGTATTAAACAGAGGATTACTAAAAACGATAAAACAAGTGAAGCATGATTTCCATAATAATTAAACAGTAAAGTTAACCATATATGGCAAGGAATTCACAACATATAAAGTCAGAACCTTTATACAAGGGTTGGCTTGGAACTTCATTCAAACTTCCACCTTGTGAGGAGGCACAAATCCCAGAGCGAATTCCAGTTCCTGGAAGAAAAAAAAAGGCATGTTAGAACATCCATACATCTGGTATCAACTTTCCGCATTACCTTGGTTATCCAAATCCAGACAATGGTAAATTGCAATTCGTCAAGATATAACAGCAGATATCATATGCTAATCTGTATTCACCTGTCTTATTCACATCTTTGGCTAAATAATCTGAAAGCTTCCCAACTTCTCTGTCAGTATCGCAAATGTCTGATGTAGCTTCTCCATCTTCTGGTCTTGTTGAGAGCTCAGTTTTGCCATCAGAAACATGGTCTCTGAGTAGCAATTTTGTTACAAAAGCTGAAAAAAAACAGGGCGAAAGACCAAATATAAGACTCTTGAAAGTGTTCTTCCCTGTGATCAAAGCAGAGAAAATGCGTTTTTTCTGGATAAAATTCAAATCTCCGCCAATGAACTCGTACACAGAGAAAATAAATTCCTACTATACAAAATGATTTTCATATTGATAATAAGATTTCAGTCAAACCCCCAACTTTCGAGTCGAATTCACCCATACCCATTGCAGACTGATCGAAAGGCATGTGCAGAAAGTATTCTAGAATAATTTGTAACGTCGTTTACCGCATTTCGAATGACGAAATTTTAGTCCCATGTCAATAATCAGAGACAAAATCAAATCCTAGAAGTCTACAGAATTTCAAAATCCGCTCTTTCGGTATAATGCGTACACTCCACATAAGCTCAACCCGCAAGGTGAAAATCCCCAAACGCGACCGAAAGCAAACACGAAACTCAAGTCCAGGAATGCGCGATACTCACGAGACGGCGGGTAAGACTGAGCGGTCTCGAACCAGAGCTCGGCGACCAGAACCTCCTCCGGCGACTCCTCCGCCGAGAAATCGTACCACCGAACCGCATCAAACTCGTAATCCAGGTCGATCTCTCTCACCTCAAAGACCCCCATTGCTCTCTCTCCTTCGCTCTCTCCAACGATCATGAACTCCAACCCCACATGAACAAGCACAGAAACGAAGCAGAGACCCCTCGTCGCCACTACAAATCGTAAATCAAACCCACTGAATCCGATCAGAGCAAAACCCTAATTTCCTCAGAATCTCTCATTCGTCGGTGCTGATAAGCAGTGTAAGGTAAATGCACAGAGGGAGGACGCTCCAGGTTTTGTAACGACTCAGAGAATTTTTGAATTTAATTGGACAATGGAGAAAGAGGGACTGCTTAAAAGACGATAAAGCCCTTCGAGGCGCGTCTGGGGCTCTGTGCTTTATTGTCAGACTAAATTCCGGCGGAGTCGATAACTACCCCTGATGTTTGTAGATATTTCTATTTTACCACTGGCGGTTTTATTCGTTTGTCCGGTCAAAGATTTGTTTCCCCTTTTCGCTACAACGATATTATAGGTAAAATAGTTTACAAAATGAATCTCATAAAAATATATGTCAATAATTTCAAATAAATATATAAATTATTTTTGTATAAAAAATATTTTAACGTGCCAATTATTCATGTATAAATTTCTAAGTTTTAAAATATTATCAAGTTTGTGTCAAAATAATAATTTTATTTGATAATATGTTATATTTTATAAATAATAAGATTAAATAAAACATTAAATATGTATACTGAAATAAAATTTTAAAATTTATATATATCTATGTAAAATTTTCAAATAGTTTATGTATTTATTTGGAAAATAATAATTTATATATTTATTTGGAAGTGTTTTCCATACTTTTATGTATTTTATGAAACTTTTTTCAAATAATTATATAATAAATTATGAAGATGATAAAGGTATAAGTTTTTTTCACAATCTCAATTTTTTATTAACCTTACAATTAATTAATTAAAAAAAGATAATCTATCATTATAATCTAATCAAACTTTAGTAAGAGGTCATTATAATCTAATCAAACTCGTCCAAGGAAATTAATAGGTAGGTACGACAACAAATATTACTTTTTTCTTATTCCTCATTTTTCATGCTCTTTTTTTTTTTTGAAAATTATGTGAACGGGTTAATTCCTATTAATAGTTTATACAATTTCTAATGTAATTATTATTTTGAATTATTTTGAATTTGTGTTGTATGAGACACGTGTTTTCACCAAATGACAAGAGGCATTAATTATTTACTCGTATAGATAGTAATAGGTCAATGTGGTGCCCATTCAGAAGCATCTTTGATGCAAATACAAATTTTGAACAATTTTTAAGCTTTAAATGAATTTCAAAATTTTAAAATTTATGAGGAAAAAACAATTTCTTTCTGGAAATATGAACCAATTACCGAGATTCTAAATATTATAATTTATTATATCATCAAAGGTCATTTTATTTTGTAGAATATATTTTATACGTTCTATTTTTTCAACGAGAAAGTGCATATTGATGTTTTGAAAGGTTTATATATATATGCCTCTTGTATTCTTGAACTATGGATAACATATGCAAGTAGCCCAAGAAAATGGATATGGTTATATCTTTGACCATCACACCATTTTGTTAAATGTTGGATATTTATTTATTTATTTATTTATTATTATTATTATTATTACCTAAATATGGTTAGCGGATAGGACAAACTTGAATGTTAAATTTATGTATACTTTAAAGGCATTAGTGTATAGTGTCCCAAGGTTGTTGGGTTTTGGACCAAAGCTACTTTTGGTAGGTTGGACATGTCTTCGAGTTTTGGTTGAATTTTTGTTTGATCGTATTTTTGGGGTTTAGAATATATATTTATTCAACTTTTTATATTAAATTGCAATTGATTTTTTTTAATTAAAGATAATTTTGTTTCATTTTTTGATAATTTCTATTACACTATTTTAATCGAATTCAGTTACGATATAATTAGATGTATATTATTAAATCTGGCTTGGTAACTCATAGGAGCGAGTGGTTGAATGTTTTGAGAGCTTTTAAAAGCAAACGTCAACTATGAATAGGAAATCAATTTAATTCACACCCTACACATTCTCATATATATATATATATATATATATACATACATATATAGATATAGATATGTATATATGTGTGTGTACTGTTTGGCTCTGCTATGCTCATTTAATTGGGGCTCACATGATCCTTGTGACAATTCCTTCCAAAATCTCAGTTTCATCACTTTCATTAAATTGGAAGGGAATTTATTATTATTATTATTAATAATATTAATAAAAGGTACTAATCTGATAATATCTGAAAATGAAAACAATGGAAAATTGAGTTTGGATGATGACAAGGCCCAATGGGCCTTTCCATCCGGCCCACTGAGCCTTCTTCGGTTCGTATTGGGCCTCTCTCTTCAGCCTCTACTGGCCCAATGAGAATTTGGACGCAACTGTTTGATGTGCACAATATATATTGCAATTGCAAAAAAAATATAATTATATAAATAAGTTATATATACAAGCCTCTGATATTATATCCCAAATTTACAGTCCATGCACACATTCCCTCACATTTTTTCTCCCAACACAACCAAAATCCATTCCCCAAAAAAAAAAAAAAAAAAGGATCCAATATTTTTTTTCCCTTGGAAACGAGTAATCGTTATGTACACAATTATATTGATATGTACAAAAAGCAACAATAAGATTTCATTTCTTTCAAACAAGAAATACCAAAGCTGAAAGAAGTGAAGAACCAGAAGAAAAATCGTGTTAGAGCTTTCGTTCCTCCTTTTTCAGTGGAGAAAACTGAAGTGAAGAATCCAAAGGCCAAAAAACTACAACAAAGAGAGGAGTTCTTTAAAGATTGGGACACTGACCTCTCTGCCTTCAGACACAACCAGAGAGGTGGTTGCGTTTTCATTGCAACAGAGGTTGTTCCTCTTCTTTCTTCATCCCGTCCAGCTGTTGTTTCGCGTATTTCGTGATGATAATCGTTGTAGCAACCGTTGCCAGAAAACCCAGAATGTTGAGAAGAATCTGTGTTACAGAAAGGCCGGGTTTTTCGGCAGAGGATGCTTCTGCCAATGTCCTTATTAGAATTCCGCTGTAACATGAAAATAAAATAAAAAAGATTTATCGGAGTTGAATAAAGATGTAGATCATGAACTAAGAAAGAAATATTTAAGAGATGGAGGGTATGAGTTGAACATACGTATAAATTGCGACGAAGATCTCAGGAACCATGCCCAAGAGGGAACCCGTGATGTAAGGACCATACTTAACACGAGTTGCCACGGCACAGTAGTTGTAAAGAATGTAAGGGAATGGAGAAATTCGTATTAGAGTTACAGCTCGAAACTGGTGAAACCAGTTGCCTTCACCAGCAGCTCTTAACATGGCAGCTTTATCAGGATATCTTTCCATCCATCCCTACACATCATATGGCAAAAATCAAATTCAGGGCAATGCAAATTGCAACCATCGTACGCTCACTTCAAAGCAAAATTGAAAAGGCAAAGGAATAGTAAGGCATAGTCCACTGGTTCATCACAGGGGCAACAAAAACAGAACTTTCGACCTTAATGTTCCAGCTTCGGGCCAATATAATCCATCCCATATGTTGCTGTTCTTTAAGCATAACATCAAATGACTCATATAGTTCTACATAACTTCCCAACCCCATTAAAACCTGTTTATCCGTATATGACCGCATCAAACAAATAGAAAACAAGTGGAGTCAAAAGGAGTAAGGGAGCGAAGAATCGAGTAAACATGTACTTGAATTTTGTGGCAGAAGAGATGTCCAATGAAGTAAGGAAGAGATACACCAATAGCTGCAGATGAAATAATTAGTAGAAACCCATAGCCATAGCCAAATGTCATCCCAGCAATCCACATGGATGGTGAAGATGGAAGAAATATCGTAGGAAACAATGCCACAGATGTAAATACAAGAAGACCGCAAACAGGGTGTGTAAACGTCCTCATCTCCCATTGAATAATCGGGATAAGCTCCTGCCAAAGAGAGAAAGAGACAATGCCCTCATTACTCGCGAAAACAAAAGAACTCATGCTGATAATTCTTCCAGTGAAGACTTCATCAATTTGGCAATATTAAGCAATATAGGTATTCAGTGGTTCGGAGGAGTGAAACATCGAGACAGTCTTAAAGCCGGAAACAAAATCTTCATATCTCACATATGAATTTGCACAACAAGAATCCTGCACTTGAATTTGCAAAACCAACCAAAAGATGGGATATTGGATCCATGATGCATATCACATTCACATGGAAACCATTCTCAACCATACACCATTTTATTCTAGCATCAAAGCACGAACTGCACGCTTACTAGCTTCAGTGAACCATATCCGAATTGTCTGAAGAATCTAAGGGCATAGATTTTGAACTCGATGGATAAGAGAATGGCATGAGTCCCAAATCATCCATCACACTCAAGCCCAGTAATAGAATCTATCCGAGTATGATCGAGATTGAAACTCTAATCAGACTAATTCAACGGTAACTCCGGAGGAACATCAAATTATCAAAATCCCGCATGCATTGTTCCTAGAAAGATAAAGTACCCGTGGAGAATCGAAACTAATGGCGGAAATTAAACCTTGTCCATGATCAGTGGAGCGATCCATTTGAGAACAGCGACGGTTAAACTGCCCAAGAAGGCGAATAGAAGAACCAGCTTGACCCAGAACCAAACAGACCTTCTCCGTCTACAGGATGAAGAAGAACATGGCGAAGAAGCCCTCTGTCCTTGTTCTTCGCCTTCTTCTTCCTCCTGCTCAGCTTCTTGTGGCGATTCTCCCAATTTCACGAAATGCCCTTTTCCGTCGTCCTCGTTTTCGACTCTCACTCGCAGTTCCGGGATCGCCTCGTCGTCCTCGCGATAAGTCATCGGATTCAACCCAGACACAAAGGGCGGAAGGAACACCCACAGAAACCCTAAGTTAGCAGCCGGTATGGATTCTCCGGTCGTTTCCCAATAAAATGGGAAACACCGGCGATCGGAAAATTCTTCGGCTGATCGAGAAAGCCCCCCGCCTCAAGGAAGGGATGATTGCAACGGAAAGAAAACAGAGAACGTCTTTCCTTTTTCTTTTTCAGAGAGCCAATTTGCACTGCGGATGGTTTCTCATCGGTTTGTTAGTTTTTTTCCTTTTTATTTTTTTTTTTAAAATGTTATTTAATTGTTTTTTATTTATTTCAGTTTTGGTTTTCGAATCTTTTTTTTTTCTGGCCTTCCTTTGTAATTTTCGATAAAATAAATGAAATAAAAACACTATAAATCTCGTGTGGAAATCACAGATGACCCTCTTTGTCTCGTAATTAAAAATCAGTTTATATCAATCTTGAAATCATGATATCTAATTAATTATTACACGATTTAATAAGTATTAACTAATATTTGATGCGACATACCTGATTAATCACGGAATCAGTATTTCTGTAGAGGTATTTATTTGTGAGTAAAAAATTTATATAAAAAAAGTATTTTTTACCAGAAAAAAGATATAAAATACTGTTTGATCAGACCGGTTTCCCCTCTTTCCAAATAAACCGATTCAAAATCTTCCGGTTTGATCAGATCGAAATCTTCAAACCAAAGCTATTTTCAATTTCAAACAATATGCGCATTCATAAAACGTTTAAATATATGATTTGTTTACATGTGATTCTAAAAATATAATCCCAATGTTTCACTTCCTTCTTTATATTTCCGGCCATATTTCATTTCATTTTGTTCCCATTGCAGTTTTGTTTTTTTTTTTTAGGAAAAGAGAAGACGGAGGGAGTCTAGGAAGGTGTGATCTGACGGTGCCGTGGCTTTTGGTCTGTACACGTGGCAGACATCGGAGGAGTTTTTCCAAGGTGGTACATTTGTTAGGTTGACTTCACCGTCACGCATGCGGTGCGTCGGAGCGGGACCCACTGTATCGCCGCCCATTGTGCGGTTTGCTAATGCGACAAGTCGGTGACGCCACATATTAATTATGTATTCGTTTATCTCGTTAAATCCAAATTCTTAAGAGCTCAAAATCTTCAAATAATTATATTTAAAACAATTTTTTTTTTCTTAAACGGTTTTGTTTATATATGTGTCGTTATCAAAAAATAACATTTTTTATTAACAGAGTGGCGCAAATAATTTCAAGAGGATATGCTATGAGATATTTTAGAATAATTCATGGACTCAACTGAAAACGTCACTTTACTTTCTTTTTTTTTTATACATCTTTTAAAAACAAAAGGGATATCATTATCTTGCAAAAAAAAAAAGAGTTTAATATTTTTTTTTTGATAGGCAGTTTTAAAGTTACGTCCTAAAGTTTTTTAAGCCATAGTTGTGGCACCACCAGCACCAACCTTCGGAACTAACAAAGGCCACATTTAAATATAAAATTAGTAAAATGATGCATAATTTTATTTTTATTTGGTATGGTTTTTTTCCCATGAGAATGTGGAAATGACAATTTTTGTCATCTACTTGATATATATATATATATATATAGAAAATGATTTTTGGCTGTTATCTCTTCTAGAGGGGCGTTTTAATATCCACATCATAGCTAAAAGATGTTAAAATCAAATTTTTTAATATCTTTTCATCAGGGATGGTCAATTCGGATTTCGGTTCGGGTTCGATTCGGTTATATTCGGATTCGATTATTTCAGTTATAGAAAAATTATAACCATTCGGTTTTTATATAAATTTCGGTTCGGTTCGGTTATTATTCGGTTCGGTTTTGGTAAAAGTTCAATTTTCAAAGAGATTATCGATTATTCTCTCGGTTTTTCGGTTATTTTTTATTCGGTTCGGTTCAATTTCGGTATCGGTTTTTCGGATTTTAAAAAAATCATAACCATTCGATTTTTATGTCGGGTTCGATTCGGATACGGTTATGTCTTATTCGGTTAATAACCGAAATGACGACCCTACTTTTCGTTTTGGTGAGTGGCTTAATGTGTCTATTTTTTATAATTCTGCGAGAATTTATGGAAATTGAAATCATTATCCGTTTCGTTCTTGTAAATTTCTATATATATTTTTTTTTGTAAAGGGGATTAAAATTTCCAACGTGGGCACAATTAGCATAAGCCAATGAAAAGGCTCCGTGGGTGGGGTTGAATTTCGCTTTATTTTGGCTTCCAGTCTCAGAGCTCTGATGCCATTGCCCACAGTTCTTCCACCAAACCTCAAACTTCACAGTGTATCGCTCACCGAAAGATCTCCGCTTTCTTCGGATTTAACGGAATGAGCATAATCACTCCTGTCGAAACCCTAATTTTGCGGTCACCGCGTCGTTTTCTTCCCCGGCATCCCCCGGTTGGTCTTCCCATTCATCGGGCAGCAGCTTTTCCGCGCAACAGCTTCTCAATCTCTTCTTCGGGTCTGGTTTATTTCTCTCATTCTCTTCC